AAAAAGAGAGAGTCTCGTTGTCAATCCTGGTAAAACCCCACACTGTCTCGTGGTGACGAGACTACCGTACCACCGCCCACTCAACCACCGGAACAACAAACTAAGTGTAGATTCAACCCCCAGTGATGATGATACTACTACGCAAGATTCGTTCACTACAGGTATTGTACAATGGGGCAACACCATTATTGGATCGGCGGCATACGATCGCTTTGGAGAAGCCATTGGATTGTCGGGAAGTGGTTCGATTGTGGCCGTGGCAGCTCGCAACAATGGGAATGTCGGATTTGAATCGGGACTGGTACGAGTCTTTCAGAGCGCTCGCAGCTCCAACAAACACCGTGTGGGCACAACTGGGCAATGCCATTGGAGGGGAAAACCCAGGAGACCGTTTTGGATTTAGTGGTTTGTCCTTGTCCAAAGATGGACTCCGCGTGGCCGTCGGAGCGCCCTTTCAAAATGTCACAACCACAACTACAACTACGCATACTGGCAGCACTACTATTACTTCTATCTTGCCCCATGTCGGCAATGTTCGTGTGTTTGACTACGTCAGTAGTACACCCAATGCGCAATGGAAACAAGTCGGACCTTCCATGGAAGGAATCCACGCAGACGAATGGTTCGGTCGATCCGTGGTCATGTCGGATGATGGGCAGTTCGTGGCAGCCTGTGCCTATCAAGGCAGCAACGAAAACGGCGATGAAAACGCGGGAAACGTTCGCATCTTTCGACATGTGGCCAATGACAGCAATGCAACAACCACGTCCTCGTCGTGGGAACAAGTAGGACAAACCCTTCATGGACTTGGAACATTGGATCGTCTCGGTAGATCTCTGGCCATTTCAGCCAATGGGTACCGTGTCGCTGCCGGGGCCAATCAATTCAAGAAAGAACCCAATGGAACTGGCTACGTCCAAGTATTCGATTTGATAGAACACGAAGATGACGACGATTGAGCATTGGATGCAGGTGGCCAAACAATCTTTGGTGATCACGATCAAGATGTCATGGGGCGAGAAATCGCCCTATCGTCGGATGGATCCATTCTGGCTTGCAGTGCCAGCCTCAACAGTGACAATGGAGAGGACGCTGGCATGGTGAGAGTCTATCGTCATCAACTTGGCAGTGATAGTGATGCATGGCAACAACTGGGACAAACCATTCTCGGTAACCAGGCCGGAGAGCGATTCGGCGAAAGCCTCTACCTTTCGGGGGACGGAACCCGTATTGCCATTGGTGGAACGGAGAAACAAACAGGAGAGGGTGTCACACGTCTCTTTGACTACGATCGAGAAACAGATTCATGGGTCCAAGTGGGCCCTGACTTGAATGGAGTTGCCGTGGGAGATCGGTTTGGAGCGGATATCCAAATGTCTACTGATGGATCATTCTTGGCCGTCAGCTCTCCCTCCAGCGATGCCAACGGTGAGGATTCCGGCATTACACAAGTCTTTGACTTGACAGCTCTGTAGAACAATGGAATGGCTGGCGTAACCAGATAAAGCCCCCGACCCCAGAAATAGAAACTGTAAAGTTGGTCGATCTTGGTCAACTCTTCCGAAAAGAACCTTGCCATTCATGCAATAACTGTAGCATGTCAATAGTGGTGGCTTGCTAGCTAGCCGCATGACCAGCTAGCTAGTAGAAGGCTGGCGGCTTGCTAGTAGAGCTGCAGACTAGCTAGCTAGAGTACCTGTACTGTACCGGTACCAGCCTCATACACCCAAGTTGAAGCTTGCGTAGAGGTACAGTACTGCGGTACTAGCTAGTAGCTCATACACCCAAGTTGGGTTGGTGCAGCTGCTTGTGCTTGCTATGCATGCATGCATAGCGGAAACCCGCGTGCCCGCCACTGGATCCTCGTTCGCTCATTGCCACTTGCGATGTTCGGGGATGCTTCCGCTTGCGGTTATGTGGGTCTTTTTTGTAATGGAGAGGCCTTCAAAACCTCTTTCTTGCTGTCAGAAGCGAACTGGAATGAGAATGATTCAATCGAGTTTCTCACACTGGGTGTTATTAATGAGACATTTGGGTAAATTTTAAATCTAAATCATTCTTATAATTACCGCAGCTTCGAAGCAACATCTTTTTACAGTGGTTAGCGGTCTCCACGTCTCCACTGATTCGATTCTCCCTTTCCGAGACGAAGACAGGGAAGCTGTGCCGGACCTCGGTATTCGTCGGACCTTGCACGGAGTATTGTCACCACCGCTCGAACCTGACCGCAACACCCGTCCCATAGAAGTGGAAAGCTAGAAGTGGAAAGCACAACAAGACAAAGACAAAGACGGAACAATGGATAAGATGTCAAGGGTCTCGACGAGTATGGCGTCAAAGCCAAAGGAAATCGTAACGCCGGCTCGAAGGACGAAATCGACTGGGAGTCTCGCGGTGATGGCCAGGCAGAAGGATACATCGAGGAAGCCTAGTAGATCACCCACAAACCTCCAAGTCCCAACGCAACAGCAGCAGCAGCAAGTCTCCGAAAAGAGTCAGACAGGAGAAGAGAGTGGCCGCCGAGGTCCGGACGACCATGCTCTCCAAAAATGCGAGCCTTCGAGTGCTTGGCGTGATGCCTTCTAAACACTCCAACGATGCAGATGGTCTATTTGTCCGCTAATACGAACTGGCCTACCAGGTTTCAAGGACGGTACAGAGCTATGGAAAGAACAATTCAGCAATTTTCGTTGTGGGCTCGGGTCGGTAGAGATGAATTTTGAGTGTTGGCTACTATTTTCCCCCTGAATTTCTGTTCAACCTCTGGGGACTTGCTAGCTATTTTAGTAGCACTGCGTCCAATATCGGAAGATGGGAAGAGTTTGTTGATGTCGGGCGATGGGAAGACTTGTTGATGCTCAACATGGAGGCGTTGATCAGTCAACCAGAAACAGCAATGGTTGTTTATTAAAGGTTTATCATCATGGAACTCCATAGCAGCTTTTCGTAAATTGTAAGTATTATAATAAACTGTAGAGTGGACGTTTCTTGTGGCTGTCAGCGTGCACTGTTTTTCTTCTAGAATGCCGGGAACGGTACGGTATGCAGTTAGTTGCGTTAGAAAAAATGATTGACGAATTCAATCAATCATTGGATCATTCTTTCGCAGGGAGAGATTAGGAGACACCCAACCAGCTGTTGACTGTGGGCAAAGACATTCATTTCGTTTTACAACCGAGTTTGCCTCGTGGATTTACGCTGACCGATTGGCTCCCAAGGATTTATGCCTGATGCGCCGAGAGCTAGCTAGCAACACCAGTTGTCTACATGGGGCGGGCCAGGTATTACGAGCTCCAAGTAACCCGTCCCAACGACAGTGTAGGTATTCATCGTCTTTCTTCTTCTCCTGCTATTTAATTGTAGCACAAAACGTACCGTACTGGAGCAAGGTTTGCTTGGCCTGGCTATTTTAAAATAGCCGACGATGAATGGAAACAAATGAAACCAACATTATTCCAACCAAACCTAACTAATCCCAAAACCTCGTTGGATCCTAGCTTGCTAGTAGAGTTAATGTTTGAGTGTTATTCTTGCACAGGACAGCTTTTCAGGACCTGTCCCAGCCACAGCGCCACAGCAGCTGCCAAAGCCGAGCTGCAAACCAAATTTAAAAATCCTTGGAAGCAGTACTAGTACGTTTTCAGTACCGATACTGTACGGTACGGCCTGTGGAAGAACTCTGTGGACTTCAGGTAGCTGCGGTAAACCAATTTTAAAGTACCTTCCACTTTTCATCACGGCTCCTGTTTTACCAATGTTTTCACTTTTTTAAAAAGAAATGCTGTGGTACAGTAGGGGCCATGCTTTACCTTGTTTTGAGCGTGGTTTTCTGACATGGGATGGCACTGGATGGCACATTATTTCTCCATCTCCCAAAGATACTGTCTGTCGTCAGTGTTCTCTGCGTGGTATTTTAAAAGAGTACGGCTGAGCCAAGGTTTGACAAGACAATAAATCTTTAAGAACACTTCTGTTGAGCCCATTATTTGGTGCCCTTTTAAAAAAGACTGGGTTGGCACGTTGGCACGGCTCGATGGCTCATGTTTGCTCGTCGCATTATTTAAAGTGTTAGCTACCGACGCATTGAAAGAGTGTGGTAATGTAATTGGGGAGTGGAATAAATTGACCAGAAGATGTAAAAACATAAAAACAAATGCTACGGCCTCATTCCCCTTGTTGTTCTGCATGGGGCTGTAACATTTGTTTGGCGATTTTGTCACTTTCCTGTGGAGAACAAGCACTCCCCAATTGTCAACACGGCGTTTTGGACCGATTTTCGATTTTGAAACCTGCACCAGTTCAGTCGTGTATACCCTTCTTTCAGTCATGTCACTTAAGTAAATTGGTCATTTCGTTAAATATTTCCATTAAGCTGCCAAAAACCTTCACTTGTGGGTATATGGTCTGTATTATCTGTTAATGCTCTACTTTCAAATGGCAACTATATGTTTAACACTCATCTCAAACAGATAACAGAAAAAAATAATGGCTAGGTCAACTTTGAATTTCTCATTACCCATACCTTTCAATGCGTCGGTATGGTTTGCATGGCTTTGGCTACCGAAATGATGAAAACAATAATTGCGATGTCTTGCTTGTTGGAACAGCGTTTTCTGGAACACCAGTGTCACCTTGATTGGTCCTTGACTACTGTCCCTCCACACTCGAGCCTCAAGAGATGTCACCCTCTTCAGAAAACCTTTCTCTGCCTCATAATTCACTATCTACACCCACTAGACAAACACGCACACCAAAACCGCAAAAACCTTGCAGTACCACAACGGTTCTGTGCAGGACAGAAACAGGATTCTATTGGATCTTCTGTTCTGTGCCCGCAACCACTGGCGGTGCCGCAACCACTGCGGTGGGCTAGATCTAGCTAGTAGGGGACTGATGAACCTCTTCCTGTTTCCTATCCTTTTGCTCACAACTCTCAGCTCTCAGCCCGAGATCTTATCAGCCCCCTCCAACAACAAAAATATTCAAAATGCCCGGCGGAGCAGCAGCTTCTACCAGAATGACAGTAGCAGCGCGAGGACGCGGCGGTGTTCCTGCCGCCTCTACAGGCAGAAGAGTCAGGCACTCCACAAGCCCAAAACGGCGCCGTGCCAATGCCAAGCTTTACGGCCGCTCCAAGTCACCACCCGACAAAGAGACCATGAAAGAACAAGCGGCGGCAGAGATGCGTGCGGCGCTCCTTACAGAACCAAGAAGCCCTCGAAGGTTGGGTGTGGCACCACCTGCACCGGAGAAGAGTACGGACGGGCTCTTTCGAATGGAAGACGACTCCAGCAGCAGCAGCAATTGGGCCCTTGGATGGGTCGAGGATGCAACAGAGGCGGCACGATCACGAACGAGCTTTTTCAGCCGACGTGGAAAGTAGACAAGAGCGACTACTACGATGTATGCATACATGCATGCATATGAATCCTTTTCGTCGCGCAACAACCAGTGAATCGAATCATTACACATTTATAATCAGCATCGTGTACCAAGTACAGCAACCCACCATTGCGACTGACTCGATAGAAAAAAGAGAGAGTCCATTGCATGTTTCAGTGCAGGGCACTATCAGTCTGGGTTTACTGGTACAAAAAACTATAGAGCAAGCATGATGATAACTCTTACTAACTTTTAGCAATTAGACCGCAAACGGAGGCAGCTGCCTGCGGACTTCGTTCGCCCCATTAGACCGTGTAACGTCATGGACCTGCAAAGGATTAGGGACAAAATGGATGTGGTGGAACACCGTTCCTGCTGTGAATGTCTTCGTCTGCAGTTGACTGTTTCGTACCGACGGCACACTCTAGCCCGCATTGCAGCTTGATCTTCGTTGGTTGAGACATGATCTGCGCCTGCAATCACTCTTCCAGGACACTCCTCAATGTCGGCTTCAATCCCCCCTCACCCAAGTCTGTGAATCAAGACATAAGATTGTATTATCAGCCATTCATCCAGCCCGGTAGAGGGGACCAGCGACATGGATGATATCAAGAGGTCCTGATGCTGCTTCCAGCCTCATACTGGAGCTCATATTGGAGCTCATACTGGAGCCATGAGTTGCCCTCAGCATGTCTGCTGTCAACGAGTATGTTTACATTCTCCACGTGGAGATGACCGCTGCTGATTGTCCTGAAATGCAGATGTTCTCTCCTCTTGGCAACTTGCCCTCCCACCACAACGTTGGGTTGGGAACCAAACTAGCAGATGGGGACCTAGATTAGCCATTGAAATAGCAGGATAATCCAAACCGAAAGTTACTCTGTTCCCGCTGCTAAGATCCGTTTGTTCAATCCTCAGAAGTCTTCCAAGAGAGCGTGGGAGGCAGTGCACACTTTGAGGGTGATGGAAGCCACACCAGATGGATCTGAAGGTTAGTTACTGCTCAACAAGTGCAGTAGCTTGCCTTCGAGGCTCCAAGATTGGTTTCCAGCCGCTGTTTTGTGTTCCCATTCCATCTCCCACTGTAGCTACATCTATTAGTCGGGTCGATTGTTGAACCTCAGAGGCGGAATCGAATCTGTATGACCACAATCATTCAGAATACGAGCGCAAACAACCCACCACTCTAAATGACTACATAGAACACTGGGAGAGTCCCTTTGCTACCGTACAATACAAGCTGCGACTGATTTGGTTTTACTGGTACATACATGAACATACGTGTTGGCGAACTCTGGAAGGCATGGCGAAGCCTGTCATCTGGAAGGTATGGCGAACCTCTCCATCAAGCCATCTCTCCCTTCTCAAAAGTCGCCGCAGCATCCTTGCAGCTACCAGTCCCTTGGACCTTTTCAATTCCTTGGTCTTTTTCCTTCTCCCTCATTTCTCTCATGAGCTGATTGTTTTCTCGCAGTTCAGTTCTAATGTCACGCAACAAGTTCTTCACAGTACCATTACTCTCTCCGCTGCGAGCACGCTCCAACGCGTTGGCCGCAGATGATCCATTGGCCCGTTCTGTCATTTCCAGCGCTTGTGGTGCCTGATAATATGCTGGTGCAGCTCCTGTGCCACCTCCACGCGTGGCTCGTTTCATGGCCCAAACCAATTGTTTGAATCGATGGGCATCCTGCAGGCCAGTTATCTTTAGTTCATACTGCCTGCTCTCTCCACCAGAGCTCGCAGTGTCAATATTCACAGTCATGAGAACTCGAGGGATACACAGACATTCTGCACCAGCTGGTTCGACAATATCACAATCGGTGATCTGAAAGTAGTTTTGCATGATGTGAGACGGCAGAAGGTGAGAAAGGTCGAAGGTATCAAGATTTCTGTTGCGATGTGGTGTCTTGCCTTGTCAAAGGGAACTGTTTTCGAGTGACGGCCCTTATCGCACACAGAGATTCCCCAACAAGACTTGCGCTTGTCTTGAACAAAGCGGATTCCGTCCACTGTGACGGCCACATGTTGAGCATACGCTTCCCATTCAATTTGAGCTTTCAAGAAGCAAGGTGTTAGAGTGAGTAACAAGAATGCTGGCGGAGTCACCGCTGCTCCAATTAAACCACCCATCAGGCCTCCATAGAGAGACATACATCCCAATGTCGGCACCAGTCCAGCAAACGCCATCTGGGTGTTGAAATCCACAATTTGAAGATAATCGAAATCGAACACCGCAACAATCCCATCGTCGCCCTCGAAGAAATCATCAGACCACTCCAGATCACTGGCTTCTGGAATCGATTGGTATGTCTTCAAGACGCTGAATCTCTTGGGACCAAGGGCCTGAGAGGCTGCCGTGTAGTCCATCGTCTTCTCTTCACTTTCAAGTAAGTTGCAACTGTTTCCATGCAATCATACCGTACCGTAAAAATGAAGAATGTGAGAATGTGCACCGCCCACGAACCAACCATGCCGATTGGATTCTTGAAGGTGACTGTTTAACGCTCACATTTTACCTCAATTCGGTATGTACGGTATCTTCGGCTGCATGACCGGATGATGAATGATCGTATCCATGGAGTTTGTCTGCAGAGTCGACTCGACTCATACGGTAGATCTAGTCTCGGGAAATAATTGTGGATGTTGAAACTACTAGCTAGCTAGGGTAGGATTGGGGAACAGTACCACGGGATAATGTGTGATCCTGGAACTGCTGGACCCAACGGAACTGATGCAGCCAAGGTGGGTTGGTACATGTAGTCTACGTACCGATATTGTGCTTTGTGGCTTTGTGGTGGTTCTTGTGTCCGTTTTGGTAGGGTACTTCCAGTTGGTAGCACTAGGACGATTTTAGGATCGGCGCGGGAGAGCGAGATACTAAGCCCGTCTTTTAGAAGAAGACAAAGTCCTTCGAGCAGTGCGTCCTAGTAACAACAAGCCAAGCAACTACGTTGAGGTTTGTTGGGATCCATCTGGGGGCTGAGCTGTTGACTGGATGAAAGGAGGCAGTGTTGCATGGATCCAAGCACTAATTTTCGTCAAGACGGGGCGATTATGCATGGGTGGGACCATTTTTAGTACCCGAACCACGCCATATCACTTCTTTTGCTTCCTATTGGCTGATATAAGCTCTTATAAAGAGTGACAGTCGGTTGCGTCCGTATACATTGGGTCGCTATGTTTAGGCTTTCGAATCCTTCTTCATGATTCGAAGCACCTCAACCTTAACTACAATGCCACAAAAATGCAGTCTCTCGGTCTCTCCGCGAGCCAACAGCGGCACCGGTACCACCAGTGGAGGAAGTCAAAGGGGAGTGCAGTTATTAGCAATAAAAAACGAGTGCAGTTATTTGTACCGGTATGATTTGGCCGTGCTTGATCCCAAACTGGTACAGTTGTACTGTAAGAAATAACGATGGTGGCGGTGCGGCAGAGGAAGGAGGGGACGAAGCATCCGTTCAGCAACAAGAGTGGTTCAGAGCTACCAAAATTTACCGTTCTGTGAGAGCCAGGTCGGAAACTCAACAAAAAAAGTTGAGTGTCGGTCGATGTGTCATTGTGACTGGGTGTTGTTGATGAGTTATTATAGTTGATGATGTTTCCACGTTTCCACACTTCTCTTGTAAAACGATTGTTGGCAATGTCGGCATGTTGGCATTGCGACTGTGAAAGGTACTGTACTAGTAACCGCAACTGAAACAAACGAGGAAGATGACTGGATAGAAACATAGAAACAGTACATGACATTGTAAGCAACAGCGACTGAATAGCGGGATAGGTAGTTTTGAGGGAAAGAAACAGGACTGGTAACATCTCGGTACATTGCTACGAGCTTCCTTGCGTAGAAGAATGTAAGAGTGAACAGATGCCAAGACGCCTTTCTTTCCAGTGAGATGCATTCAAACATTCAAGCTATTGTTGACATTGGACAATGCCCCAAACTGCGGAATGGGGTAACGCACACCATCAAAGCAAACGATACTTGCTTTACTTACTTACACTTTGCACAGTTCAAGCTACACACCCCACCGGTCACACTGGTAAAGCGGAAGGGCTTTTGCTAGTATATGGAACCTTATCCATCGAGATCTTTGGTTGCAAGGTACCTCTACTATAGCAAATCTTTACTCTAATACCACATCGGAGGCAAGTCAGTCGCATTCACATGGCACAGGACATGGTAGGCATTCTTTGACAAGCTCTTTGACATCATTTATTTATTTATTTTGACCAGTTTCGCTAGAAACATCTACCGTACTACCTGGTAACAGTACTAATAATACTAGTACTCCGGAGTAGTTACTAGAGTAAAAGTTTACGGTTCAATAGCTGTTCAATGTAGTTGAACCCGTGAACCCGTGAACCTTGCTTTACAATGTCATGTACCAGACCGATGACCGTAATTAAGTACCACTCCTCCTTTATACCTGACTTTTCATCTGTTCTTTTCCCTTCATGAAGATTCTTGAATGCCACCTTCAGCTCACCTTTTACTTTTTTCGGACACTGACAAAATTTTTTAGTCTTTTGGCCTCCCAGCTGTACCGGAAGGAAGCATTGTAACCAGGCGAGAATTTGATGTGGATGTTCCAACGATTTAGTACATGTAGGTGGTACCGGTAGGCGCTACTAGTAGTAGCTGCGGTCGATTCTCAGCAAGTCATGCATCACATGGTTGCTGAGCACCGTTGAGATTTGACTCACAATTCGTAAGCTTTGGCAAGAGCAAAGCAACACAGCCAAAATAAATCCTCTTGGAAAAGCTCACAATCTGAAGCAACCGCAAAGCCAACTACAAATCCACAACAACCATGTGCATGCCCACCGGTACATCTCCTCAACCCACCCTTGCTCGCAAGTCCAATCTCATGTCTTCTACCAGCTCCCTCCCTTCGATGGACAAGGACACGAAAAAGTCCGTTCAGTTTTGGGGGAAAGTAACCAAGCGTCCCGCCCGCTCTTACCACCACTTTGACGAAGAGCAAATGGAATTCATGTGGTACAGCCCAGAAGAACTTCAAGGCATGCGCCAGCACCTGAAAAAGGTCCTCAAGGACCAAAGCGTACTGGAGAGCACCAACGATGTGTACCGTGGCTTGGAGGCATTTGCCAACGGGAACCGAAAAACCCGTTATGCAGCCCATGTCAAGCCCGTCCTCAAGATGCACCGAAACAACCGACAAATGGGCGTCGACGACGATCTGGGTGTTCCCACCTTTGCCGCTCGTTTGAACGAAGAAATGACCAGGCAAGGAATCCAACGAGCTGCACAAGATGCTACCGATGCCTTTGAAATCTATCAGGAAGACGCAGCTTCCTCTAAGCTACTACTGGACCACAAGGATGTTGATGTTCAACAGTGCTTTCGGCAAACCACTTACGGTGCCACGGCAACTGTACGAAAAGCTGCCTCCTGCTTGGCACGAAGCGCATAAAAAGAAAAAAGCTCGTGATCCCATGTACACACTAATGTACCGATAATATGCCCATTAAAGGGTTGTAACTAATAGCCAGCAAGCACCACTACACTCAAGATTTTTTAGTTCGATTACTCCCCTGCTTCTAGCTAGCAAGATACCGGTTGCCAAAGTAGTGATCCCTGCCAGGAAGATGATGAGATACGTTGATTCAATTCTGTATATTTATAATATGCAGGAGGTTCAAACAATCTCGAAAATGGTGGCAGTCCTTTGTTCATTCTGGAATGGTAGCTCCACCACTCCTCCGCCCGGGCATCGCTCCGGTTTCCTTTTGGATTGTTGGAAGGAAGATGGGTTGGGTCTCTTCCCGAGAATCCTAGTCCTGCAAACCTGCTAGAGCTGGCCTAGCTCTGGCTATTATATAGGCATCAATATTCAATCCCCGCGCACTTTTACAGGCAGCCACAAGCAAGCTAGAGTAGGGTCTACCCGCATTTCAATGAGGCTCAGTCAGGTCGGTTGCTTACTAATGATTGGTCAGGGTAATACCGGTAGGGTTGGGGGCAACATGCCTTCATCCTGGAAAGTTCTTACCTCTAAACTGAAGGTAGATGCGGTAAACATAATATTTGTTCAAATCAATTAATTTGTTACGTCGATTTGAATCTCTAACCCTTATTTACCCAATCTACCATTATAAATCAGTCTTCCTGGCGCGAAAGCCGCCAACCAAAAAGATGCGGCAGGCAACGAAGCAAAGAAGTCCATTATTCTCCAGTCCATTATTCTAGAAGGTCATACAATGGTATGAGTTCCTTGCCAACATACATACTCTCCTGAAACAACCTGATGACAATAATCAGAAACGTGAAATCAGCATTGGCAACACCAGCGAGATCTTTCACGGCGAAAAGCATTGGAACCTGTTCGTCAAAGTGGATTCTCTCTTGGAGGGCCAAATCGAAAAAATTGTGGCCAAGGAAGCGAGAGGCGACGACAAGATTGTGCTCGTTGTGTCACCGACTGACCCTGATATCTATGGGACATCCACAGTCCTTCCATTCTCCAGTGATACCTCCAAACTCACTGTTCGAATCTATCTGAGAGAAACGAAAGACGACTGTCACTCTATCTTCTTTGAGAAGGTGAGATTGAAAAGGAGTTTCGACACGACCTATAGTTTCACAAAGATGGAAGCTTCCACTCTACAAGCCACACCGTCCCTTTGACAGTGCCTCTGATCCTAAGGGATGCTACTCCCTTGGCGCCAAAATCCAAGCAGGAGGTTTCTGTCACCATTGGCAACCGTTGCATATCCAATGAGAACAATTGCTGGCACTGGAAGCTGAGCGTCAGGATTGATCAGGCGCTGGAAACAAGAGTGGATCATGTTAGCAAAACACCAGGTAGCAAAAGGGTCAAGCTGGTGAAGCCCTTCTTAGACCCTTGTCTCTTTGCATCTCCACTGACATTTCAGAGCAGCTCGGAAGATGGTGTTTGTGTTATCTCATCTATCTCAAAGATGACATTTCGTCCTTTGTTGGAATGAAGCAAATGCCAGCATCCAAACTGAAGTTGCGTCATAAGCTTCGATTTGGGGCGGGTGAAACATTTGAAACTAAGCACACGATCATACTACTTCCAGACAACCCGACAACTACTTCAGTCCCCCATCTCCTGACAGACCCCACATTTTCTTTCTCGGTCCCACCATCCATGTGGTGCATTACCTATCATCAGCTAATGGAATTGGATGAGAGAGCATCAAAGCTCTTTGGACCAAAATACTCCACTACAACAATGCGAGACATTTGTGATGTTATCATCCAGCCAACATGTTCCAGAACAGGCACCTCCTACGCACTCAGTGTAAACAAGGGCGGGCTCCTGGTCCATGTTTTTGTGTCTCATGGATGGGATGGTTACTTCTCTTCATTTGTCCAATCCATTCGTAATGCGTACCAGACATCCGTGGCCAAATATGTGCATTTGCATTGCTGCAAAGCAAGGACGAAGAAGTCGTTGCCCAACAGATTGGTTCCAACAACAACGAGAAGGATTCTTTGGAGAAATCACCCTTTGTCCAAGCCATTCAAGCGGCATCTGACTTTTGCGTTGTGAGGAATTCCAACGTGGATATCTATGGTCGCATATGGTGTGTCTGTGAACTGATCTACGCCAACCATTGTGGGCTCTTCCCCCGTAGGACCCGTGTCACGGGACCGGACAGATTCAAATCCAACAAGAACTAGCATCTTGGATGCGCAAGCATCAAGGCTGAAGGACAGGGACAAGATCCCCCGCGTGCTCTTGACAGAGTTTGATCGTGAAGAAATTGACAACATTGTTCATAAGCTGAGGACACAGGATCAACCAGTGGAGGTAAAGGGAGATCATGACTGCAACAATTACATGGAACTGTCAAAACCACAGCAGCAACGGGATTCTCTCCTTCAGCTCCTTCACTCGAAGAAGTAGAAGGAGAACGTGGCATTCACAAGTTCACCGCAAAGGTGTTCCTGCGGATTTCAGAAAGCAACCAAATGACGCCTACAAGGCTCTAGAATCTCAGTTTGCCCCAACTTCGGACTCTGTGGTGACTTTCGAAGCTTTCGCAGAGAAGCGTGTCAGGGCGTACCGCCGAGACGTCCACATTCAGACCTCCTACACTATTAGTGTACCATACATACTCGACATACCAATCAACGCCATACCAATCTTATTCGCAGCAACAACAAAATGGGTATTTGGAACCTCTTCGCGTTGGCCAGCGTCATCGCATGGTTCCCAGCTACCTCGGTTGGGCTCGAACCACTATCGGGGTCATTCTTCATTGGTGAAACTATTGATATTCTGAGCGTGTCTCCAACAGGATTTCATGGGAGCAGTGGCAATATCCTGGCTCTGAAATGTAGAAGGAGAAGGAGGCCGCCCAAGTACAGGAGAAGCTGTCTCCCCTTTGGAATCACGATATCTCTCTCTTCCTCATGCCAGAGGGACGTGTCTACCTTCTCGGTTGATTCGATGGAAAAGTACCAACGGGAGGTGACCAAATCATTGAACATAGTCGGATCACACCAGAAGCTCACTGGCCTGTACTCCGACGAGACCAAACGCGTTAGCAAGTTGATTTCAAGCAGTGGTGCCACCGTCAGTAAGTCGTTGACTCGGTGCATTGTTTATGGCCTGACCCTGCATCCTGGACATGGCAGGCTTGACCATATGTTTGTACATGCTGTCAAGTCCCTACCTACCACCTTCGATACGGCAAACCCCTATCCCTTCTTCAAGTTTTTCGACGAATGGAAAACGCACATGATAACAAGGTGCTACATCGGGGGCTCGATGAGTCGAGTCAGTTCGCCTACACAAACAAGTGGTTTACCCAGTCATATTCTGAAGGCATAGTGAAGGAGCAAGCGTAGTAGAAATGTAATTCAATCCCAGAACCCAGTGGTACCTGAGGCCCCCTGAAGGCAAGGGAATCCCACTGAATGCCCCTGATCTACAAGGAATCAAGTGCAGGTTTGACCCCCAAGGAGCAAAAGTAGATAGCATAATCAGCTCACAATCTGAGCCAACCTGAACTAATAAAGACAAAGCAAACAAACAAAGACTACTAGATATCACATTACTACCTACTTTCTACTAGCTTATCAGGCGTGGTAGTTCAACTACTTACTGTCCTAAGCGACTACCAAATTCAACGAAAACACCATACCAACCAAGCACATAATACCTTCCCTCAATTGACAGTCCTTC